GGAGTGAACAACCAGTACATCGTCAACATGGCCTTCCTCTCATCCGTGTATGCGGACTACCTGACGGGGGCAGGCGCCACACTCACGTGTGGCAGCACCGTCTTCAAGCCCAGCGACATTGTGGCCGAGGTCAAGGCGCAGGTGAGCACTTATGAGGCGTCTCAAAAGTTGTGGCCGAGGTCAAGGCGCAGGTGAGCGTGCGTGTGTGTGTGTGGCAATGCGCTTTTGTAGACAGCCCGTTAACCACATGCTGGACAGAAACCCGCTCAACTACTTGCGCCACATCCCCCTTCCCTCTCTCGCTGTCCGCTTCCCCTGCCCAACCCCCCCATGCACTTCTCAACCCCCCACTTGTCTCTCCACCCCACCCCTGTTCCCACCTCTCTCCCCCTCAGGTGGATTACATGCTGCTGGGAAAGAACCCGCTCAACCCCTCGCATGTACCAGGCTTCCAGTCGACTCAAACTCAAACTTCACCTGCACTGCCTCCCAACCAACCCTATCTCCTGATCTGCTTTTGAGTCGACTCAAACTCAAACTTCACCTGCACTGCCTCCCAACCAACCCTATCTCCTGATCTGCTTTTGAGTCGACTCAAACTCAAACTTCACCTGCCTTCCAACCAGCCCTATCTCGTGATTCTCACCTCCCCCCCTCAGGTTGACTACATGCTGGGAAAGAGCCCCCTGAACCTCTCCTACGTGGTGGCCTTCACAGCCAACTACCCCTGCCGCGTCCACCCCTGTGTCGCCCACCACCTGCTCTCCCTGCCCGGCCTTCCTGCCCAAACCCCCCCTAACCCGCTCCCCTTTCACAGGTGGACTACATGCTAGGCAAGAACCCCCTCAACCTCTCCTATGTGGTGGGCTTCACAGCCAACTACCCACGCCGCATCCACCACCGGGGGGCGTCTGTCGTCTCGTACAACGTCGACCCGCGCCCCATCGCCTGCGGGGCCTCCTTCTCCTACCTCTACGTGGATGCTCCTAATCCCAACGTGCACGTTGGTGCTGTTGTGGGCGGGCCCAAGGGCGACGGGGTGAGTTGGGTGTGATTCCTCACATGCATGCATGCATGCAGGTGAGAGTTTTGAGGCGCCTCAAAACTCACCTCATTCTGAGGCGCCTCAAAACTCACCTCATTCTGAGGCGCCTCAAAACTCACCTCATTCTGAGGCGCCTCAAAACTCACCTCATTCTGAGGCGCCTCAAAACTCACCTCATTCTGAGGCGCCTCAAAACTCACCTCATTCTGAGGCGCCTCAAAACTCACCTCATTCTGAGGCGCCTCAAAACTCACCTCATTCTGAGGCGCCTCAAAACTCACCTCATTCTGAGGCGCCTCAAAACTCACCTCATTCTGAGGCGCCTCAAAACTCACCTCATTCTGAGGCGCCTCAAAACTCACCTCATTCTGAGGCGCCTCAAAACTCACCTCATTCTGAGGCGCCTCAAAACTCACCTCATTCTGAGGCGCCTCAAAACTCACCTCATTCTGAGGCGCCTCAAAACTCACCTCATTCTGAGGCGCCTCAAAACTCACCTCATTCTGAGGCGCCTCAAAACTCAGCTCATTCTGAGGCGCCTCAAAACTCACCTCATTCTGAGGCGCCTCAAAACTCACCTCATTCTGAGGCGCCTCAAAACTCACCTCATTCTGAGGCGCCTCAAAACTCACCTCATTCTGAGGCGCCTCAAAACTCACCTCATTCTGAGGCGCCTCAAAACTCACCTCAGTTTCAGACGCCTCAAAAAGGCATCAGGCATTCCGATGGTGTGTTCTTTTCCTCTTGAGAATTCTCAAGGGTGATTTTCTCTATGTCGGCATGCCCGACCTTAACGTGCACGTTGGAGATTTCATCGCTGCCAGTCCCAAGGGCAACGGGGTGAGTTTGCTGTGTGCTGTGGCTGGGAGCGCTGCAATCGATGGTTCTCTGATCACTCTCTTCCTCCTCCTTCCGTCCCTCTCCCCTCTCCCCTCTCCCCTCTCCCCTCTCCCCCTTCCCCTCTCCCCCTTCCCCTCTCCCCTCTTCCCCCTCCCCACTCTTCTCCTCACCATCAGACGGACAGCTATTCAGACGTGCGCAACAGCTACGAGTACGGAGAGCCGACCACCTACAACAACCCCGGCCTCGTAGGCGCCCTCGCTCGCCTCCTCGTCGGCGCTCTCCCACCCGGCCCCCCGCCTCCGCCCTCCCCTCCCTCTCCGCCTCCGCCCCCCAGCCCTCCTCCATCCCCTCCTTCTCCGCCCAGCCCCCCGCCTGCTCCCCCCTCGCCTCCGCCCCCGCCGTTCTCAGGTGACTGATCCCTTGTATCGTTTCACTCTCGCTCTCTCATATTTGGTTCCCATTCTTCCTCTTTTTCCTATACATGTCTTAAACAGGTTTAGATTCCATTACCATCCATCCTTTGATGTTGGACCCATCCCACGCCACCATTCCCCCTTGTCTCAGGCAAGCCATCATTCAGCAAAACTGTCACCCTAACGGCCCCTTCCCTACCCCACTCCTCCGCCCTCTCTCCTTTCCTTTCCCAAACATGACTGTCCTCTGTTCCCTCGTGTCCTCCTGGACCAACAGCAACGGCCCTCAAGCCAGAGACACAAAACTGCTCTGCTCATTGCATCCTCCCACTGCTCCCTCCAAACTCTCCCGTTCGCTTCCCAAACATGACTGTCCTCTGTTCTCTCGTGTCCTCATGGATGGACAGCAACTGCCTGCAGAAGCGACCGAGGCAAATCCTCTTCCTCCTCCACCCCCCCCTTACCCTCCCTTGCCCCCCTTCCGTCCCCCACCAGACGTAACCGTCCTCTGCTCCATTGTCTCCTCATGGACAGACAGCAACGGCCCACAGAAGCAGTGGAACTGCGAGGTGCGCAACGAGGGCATCTACGCCGTGCGGGGCATCACTCTCACCGCCACCTCCTTCTCGCCCAACTCCCTCTGGAACATCGATCGCTCGCTCGTCCTCCCCGACTGGGCCGCCAACCTCAACCCCGGCGGGTCGGCGGGGTTTGGATTTATCCAAAACGCGGCGCTGACGCCGATGTTCCGCGTGGTTTCGTACACGTCGAACGCGCCGCCGCCTCCGCCTTTCACGGAGAAACCGCCGCCGCCGCCGTCGCCGCCGGTGCTTGTGACAGCTCCCCCACCCCCATCACCTCCCCCCGCCGTGCAACCCTCTCCTCCTCCCCCATCGCCTCCCATCCGCCCCCCTCCTCCGCCGCCCAAGCCTCCCAGCCCCCCTCCTCCTGTTAAAAGTAAGTTGTTAGCCGACTCAAAACACATTCTCAAGCCACCCTCCTCCTGTTATAGGACAGGCCGGCTAAGCTCTTCCCTTGTTTTCTATTGCTTGCATTGCAATGCAGTAGATCTTCACACCCGGTGCCTCGAATCTCGACAGCTCTTTCATGCTTCGAAGTTCCATCTCAATGCCATGTGATTAAGGTGTTTGGTTCCGACTCCATCAACCACCATTCTCAACCACCACCACTCTCAATCCTGTTCCCCCTCCCCGTCATTTTCCTTTCTTCATTCCCCTTCCAATCCCCTTTTCCCCCACTTCACCCCTTCCTTCAATCGTGTTCTCTCTCCCCTCCTGATTGCAGCGCCAGTGACATTCCTGCAGACCATAGACACTACAGTCCCTCCCGCCTTCAACGTATTCAACTTGACCATCCTCTTTGAGGCTCCCCACAATCGTCTCTCTTCCGCCCTCCCTGCCTCCTTCCCTTCCTCCCTCCCTCCCCTCTCCCTCCCCCCTTCTTCTTGCAGCCCCAGTGACATTCCTGCAGACCATAGACGCCACGGTCCCTCCCGCCTTTAACGTGTTCAACGTGACCATCGTCAACTACACCAACAAAACTATCCTCACACTCAAGATCTCAGCAAAGAACCTCGCTCCGCTCTCCCGCTGGGGCCTAAAGGTGTTTTGTTCGAACTTCTCAACCACTACCACTCTCAATCCTGTTCCCTCTCCCTCCCCCCTGCCCCTTCTCCCCCTTCCCCTCCCGTTCCCCATTCTCCCCCTCCCCCTTCCTTTTTCCACTCCCCCTCTTTTCCTGATTGCAGCGCCTGTGACGTTCCTACAGTCAATAGACGCCACGGTCCCGCCCGCCTTTAACGTGTTCAACGTCACCATCATCAACTACACCAACAAAACCATCCTCTCTCTCAAAATATCCGCGAAAAACCTCGCCCCCCTCTCCCGATGGGGCCTCATAGACCACCCCACCGCACCCGGGTTCTTCACTCTCGTTCCCAAGATGTTCCCCATAAGGCCGAACGAAGCGGTTACTCAGCTGGGGTACTTGCAGGTTGGGGCTGGGGCGACGTTCACGGCTGCGGCAATGACCACTGCGCCTGCTCCCCCCTCGCCGCCTAAGAAACCGCCCCCGCCCAAGCGCCCACCGCCGCCACCGGTTTGAGCAAGGGAGGAGCGGAATGAGGGGGTTGAGAGGGGTTTGTTGGGGGTTGAGGGAGGGGGGGTGAGGGGTGTGGGGGAGTTGTGGAGAGTAGAGTGGGAGTGTGAAGGGAGGAGGGGTAGTTGGAATAAGGGGCAGGAGGAGACATGAGATCGGATAGCGAGACTGCGAAGAGCGCGGAGGAGTGGAGAGGAGTGGAGAGGAGTGCACTTGGATTGGCTGCTGAAGCTGCCAGTGGAACAAGTGGATTCATGGATTCTTAACTCTAGATGGGCTTTGTTATTATTGGTGCTTGTGGTTGAATACAATGGCTCTTTTAACAAATACTACACACCTGGTGAGAGTTATAATGTTATAATTGAGGGTGGTTGATTGTGGGGATGTGGATGAAGGGTTGCAATGTGCTCAGCTTGTAACTTCAGCAACTTCTTGTCTCTAAATTCTTCAAGGTTTGTTAAGTTACCTCTTCCAGAGGAAAAAACAATGAAGTGCCGTACCATAGACATGGCTTGGTACGGTATTCGATGCGCCGCAAAAGTGTACACACACGGCATGATATATGTCATCTACTGAACGAATCACTGCGCAGCAGCGAAGGTGAGCCACACAGCTTGTTCAAAGGGAGTGAGGGAGAGCGAGAGCTCTCGCTGAATGCGCTGTGTCTCCATTGAGATGTCTGCTGGGCTCGCCACTCCTCGGTTCGCCTGGGGGCGTAAGAGGGAGAGAACGTGAGCATAGGCAAAAAGGAGGCGAGTGAGGGAGAGCGAGAGAGAGCTCTTGCTGAATGCGCTGAGTGCCCATGGAGATGTCAGCCGGACTCGCCACTCCCCGGTTCGCCTGAGAGTGTGGGTAGCGCGTGGGTAGGAGGAGAGCGGGGGGGAGAAAGTATTGTTATGCGTGTGTGGGTGTGCGTGTGGCAGGGGGGGGGGGGGGGGATTGAGTGTGTGTGGGTGTTGCAGGGGGGGTGTTGAATGGAGAGCGAGAACTCTTGCTGAATGAGCCAAGTGCTCATTGAGATGTCAGCTGGACTCGCCACTACACGGTTCACCTGAGGGCGTGGTGGGTGAGTGAGTGTAGGTGTGGGTTGGGGCAGCGAGGGTGGAGAGGGGGTAGGTAGGGGAACGAGAAAGTGGGAAGGGGGTGCAAATTGGGGGAGGATGGAGGGAGAAATAGGAGAAGGGGCAAGGGGGAAGGAAAGATTGGAGGGAGGAGGGAATGGGAAGGAAATCGGAGGGATGGAGAATTGAAGTTAAAAAACTAGTGAATGCGACAGAGGCAGCAGGTTCAGCAGCGGCGCCAGCAGAGGTATCAGGGGGAGCAGCAGAGACAGCGGGGAGGGAGGGCGTACCATGGAGGCCGCAGGTACTCTGGTGATGAGATCGCGCTCCCTGCTCACACATGTCCTAGCATTATCATCATTGCCACTGGCGGCTGTACCAGCAGAACCAGCAGAACCAGCAGTGCCGGCAGCAGCAGCGGCGGAATATGCAGCATCAGCAGCAACATGAGCAGCAGTGGAGGTGGAGGTAGGGACGAGGTACCCTCTGACCCGGGCCACCACTGCTGCCATGTCTGCTCTGGACAGGCGGTTTGGCCCTCCCACGTTCAACGTTAGGGCCACGCGCTCGCCTGATGGGGTGGGTTGCGTGGGGCATCAGGGAGGGCAGGGGGGGTTGGATGGACGGGGTGACCAATGACCGTTGACCATTGATGCAACGGCCTTTGCTGCAAACAGGCATTGGAAGAAAGGCTGTGTGACACTGGTACTTGTTCTGCCTTCATGGATGAGAAGAGAGGAGAGGAGAGGAGAGGGCCCTGCCCAATACAAGTATTTGTGTATGCATTTTGGGATGCAGGGAATGTTGGGAATCACTTTTGAGAATTCTCACGAGTATTGTAAATGCATTTTAAGATGCAGGCCGAGTCGTGGCAAATGGTCTGCGGAGTCCCCTGAACTCCGCTCGAACTCAGCAAGGCACGCCGCACGCACCTTGGGCGTGTCGATGCATGAGTGCCCGAACAATGCGGGGGTAGTCGTGAATGTAGACCGGGCAGCGGTACTCGTCGTCAAAGAAGGACTCTGGTTGGCCCGATGCCAACGCAGAGTGCAGTGCTCCATCCATCCACTGATGGGAGGGGGGGAGGGAGAGGGAAGGAAGGGGGAGGAAGAGGAAGTCGGGAAGAGGGTCAATGTATGTCAAGGAGAAGTGCAGTGCTGCATTCATTGATTGGTGGGGGAGGAAAGGGAGAGGGGAAGGAAACGGGGGGGAGAGAAAGAGGAAAAGAGGGTCGTTTGACGTCAGTGAGGAGTGCAGTGCTGCATCCATCCATTGGTGGGGGGAGGGAGTGGGAGAGTGCGGTGGAGCGGAGGGGAAGGGGAGGGGCGGAGAGAAAAAAAATATTGGAGAGAGGAAGGAAGTTCAAGGGCGAAAGGATATACTTATATGCAAGTGTATACATTTACATTTATACATGTAGCAGCACTCCTCCCCCCTCTCCTCTGCTCCTCCCCGTTTTCAACCCTACTTGCCCCTAGCCTCACCTGCAGCGGCAGGGTCAGAGACACACCAGGAGCAGGGACGGGGGACGGTCCCACAATCGTTTTTTAAGCGTCTTGAGAATTTCCCTCGCCTTACCTGCAGCGGCAGGGTCTTTTTCAGAGGCACGGGAGGAGGCGGCCCCACGATGATGCTGCTGCGCAAAATGGCGTGGCTGCCTGACCACTGCCCGCGCACAGCCTGCTCCCCCATCACCTTGCTCCGCCCGTACGTGTTCACTGGCAGCAGTGGATCATCCTCCTTGTAAAACGACTTGGTGCCCTCGTAGACTGGGGGGAGAGGAGGGGGAAAGAAAAAAAAAAGGATTCTCTTTTTTGGGGGAGAAAGGGAAGAGCGTGGGAGGAGCATGGCATGGCATGGGTGCCTCCTCAATACTCCGTCTGCCCACACCACCTGCTGGCATGGCGCAAGGAGGGAGAGTGGGTGAGAGGGTGGAAACACGGCACTTTCAGAAGGGGAAATGTGAAGGCAGATTGTAAGGCAGTGAATGGGCTGGCCGGGTGCTAAAGCTGTGTGGTCTAGGGCGGTCTAGGCTGGAGCGGATTGTAAAGGCCGCAAATGTGAGAGATATGAATCAACAGTCCGTTCCCTCCCTCTCCCCTTCCGTCCCCCTCCCGTCCCGCTCCCGTCCCCCTCCCGTCCCCCTCCCGCTACGCGCAATTCACCTTGGTCCGTGGAGAGGTGAATCAGCAGGGGCAGGCGCTGCTGCTCCCTATCCCTCTCCAACCCCTCCCCTCCCTCCTTACTCCCATCGCCAGTCCCATTCCCATCCCCCGTTGCACTGCTGCCTGGTGCTGGCTTCCCAGAAGCGTCGGACAGAGCAGCAATGAGCGCGGAGGGTACGTTGATGTGCATGGCCAGGGCAGGGTTGCCCTCGCACTGCCTTGGCACGGACACGGCTGCACAGTTCACCACCACGTCGGGCTGATGGAGAGGGGCAAGATAAACAGGTAGCATGGAGAGGGATTGCGAAAGGGGGACGCAGACGGGAATTATCGAAGGGCAGGGTCGCTCTCGCACTGCCTTGGCACGGACACGGCTGCACAATTCACCACCACGTCGGGCTGAAAGGTGGGTGGGTGAGAGACGGACAAGCAGAATGGGGAGGGACGGAGAAGGGAAAAGAAGATGGGATTTGTCGAGGGGAGAAAGTCGCTCTCGCCTGCTTTAGGCACCGACACGGCTTCACGGTTCAATTTACCACCACGTCGGGGTGGGGCAGGGTGGGATGAGACGGGGTGGGATGGAATGGGTTGAAATGGTCAGGACTGGGTTGGAACGATGGCAGGGAAAGACGAGCCGTCATGGAATGGCATGGAATGGCATCACACGTAACTGGATGAACCCTCCAATCCTTCGCTTATTCAACCGTCCTTTGCAACCTAGCCTAGGCGCCTCAGTCGTCTTTCTTTGCACCCTAACCTCGATCCTCGGTTATCAATCATCAGTCGTCAGTCCCAGGGATCCCAACCCACCAACCAGTCCGAATTCCGCAATGCACGTCGCGAGCCCGTCACCGCTCGCCAGATCCACGCGGAACGCGCGCGGCCCGCCGAGCGCGGCCACCTGCTCCGCAGTTGGCGGGGAGGAGCAGCATGTCAACGCCACGTCATCGCGCGTGGAGTAACCATCAGCCTCCGCCGCGTTTCCTGGCTCCAGAAACGCTTTGACGAGGAACTGGCCGAGGTAACCCGTACCACCGACGATGAGAACCTTCATTGAGTGCCGTACAACCCGTGTGAGGGTGAACTGGGGAGGGAGTCTAGCTCGAGACGTCTCGTTGTTCCATCATCTGTTCCAGTGTTATGAGTTGTAAAAGAGAGTGCGCAGGTAAACGAATAACGAGACTGTGACTGAATGAACTGAGAATACAATGAATGCACAGACTAATGTAGGGCTAGCCTAGCTAGGAGGAAACCTCGGACGAGCGAGGTTGGGTGCAGGTTTGGCGATGGAAATGCCGAAGGCGACGCGAGGAGCCTCGGCAGCGTTGAAATCGGCCGAACGTGCGAACTCCGAAAATCGGGTTGTACGCGAAGCAGTCAACCCCGATAAGGAATTCGGGAAAATTCCTTACACCACCCCCCCCCTTAAAGCCAGGATCTCAAGTAAGAGAATTGGCCTTCAATTGCAAAACACTTGCAGCGCTTGTTACCCTATTTTTGTAGGCGAATTGACTGGCTGGTTAGGAAAGTGAGCGTGCGGCACACCCACGATTTTGCCCCTAGAGCAAATGCAAAACATTTTGCTGGTACATGAGATTGTTGTGTGTGACGAGAAATTGCAGGCATTGGAGCTTCGTCACCGAACCAGTTTCCGAGCCTTGCTTGGTTCGGACTGAACTTGCGATTTGTCTTTACTTCGCACCCCTCGCTTCACACCTCGTCAGATTGTTCACCTCGCTAACCAATCGCAGCCCAGCTCCCCTCACCAACTGCAAAACAATTGAACTACTTGAGATCCTGGCTTTAAGAAAGGCGGTCAATATCCGAAACACGCCTTCGCGCCAGGTAATCACCAACAAGTGGCGAGGCGTCGAGCGAGGCGGATGGCACCCACGTGTCGTCCTCACTGGTGCGGTCAGTCCAGCGAATTAAGAAATCCACGTGTCGGCCAGCTGCGTCAAGGCGGACCCGATGAGCGAGGATTTTGGAAGGGTCAAGGGTCGGCTCCGGGACAGGTCGTGCTGTCGGGGCAGCGTGCTGACGTGCGATGTCGGTCGTTGCTGGCACGAACTTTCGAAGAAGGCTGACGTGGAAGGCGTCATGAGTGCGCCAGTCGTCGGGTAGCAACAGCTTCGCGGTGACAGGTGTCACCATCTTGAGAATCTTGAACGGCCCGCAAAATCGTGGCCGTAGTTTCGATGGACCGGGCAGGTGCAGGTTCTTCGTGTCAAGTAGCACTAGTTGCCCAGTTGTCAAGACGAGTTCCCGTCGGAGAAGGTCGGTGTATTTGCGGGAAGTAATATTCGCCTTGCGAATTGCGTCTGCGGCTTTTTCTCGGACTTCCTGAAGTTCTGTCACGAAAGTCTGTGACCTCGGGACCGGATTGTCGAGAGTAGTTGCCATAGGAACTGTCGGGTCCATCCCGTGATTCAGGAAAAATGGGGAGTGATTAGTCGTGCTGGACGGTGCGTTGTTGAAAGCGAATTCCAACATCGCGAGCGAGTCTTCCCAGCGGGCAGGGTCGGGGCAGTTTGTTCTGATCAGCTGCTCCATGGTCTGATTGGTCCGCTCGGTTTGACCGTCCGTCTGTGGGTGATATGCCGATGAGAACTGTAGCTTCGTGCCGTATTGCGCCCACGTCTCCTTCCAGAACTTGGATGTGAACTTCGGGTCTCGGTCGCTGATGATCGCCGAAGGGATGCCGTGCAGTCGCACGACCGTTGAGATGAAGAGGCGCGCAGTTTCTTCGGCTGTGATTGTCGTTCGGCATGGTGCGAAGTGCGCCATTTTCGTGAAGCGATCGACGACGACGAGAACAGCGTCGTTGCCGGACGGCCCAGCTGGCATCCCCGTGACGAAATCCATCGTCACTTGCTGCCACGGTCGTTCGGGTGGCTCGAGGGGTTGCAGCAGCCCAGCTGGTCGCTGACGTGTCGATTTTATTGCTTGGCACACCCTGCATGAGGACACATAGCGCTGCACGTCGTTAGATAAATCAGGCCAGTAATATTGACGGTGTAGTAGTTTCTGGGTTTTATCAACCCCGAAGTGTCCGGAGAAGTTCGAATCGTGGATTTCCTGGATGAGAAGTTCACGCAGCAGTCGGTAAGCGGGAACCCAAATCCGGTCGGTTCCGGCTTTTAGGTAATAGTCCCCTTTCTGCGTCGTAGCCTGCTGATGATTTCCCGTCGTGAAGAATGGGTCCGTCGTGTAGCCGTTGGTAAATAGTCCGGTAAGTAACGGGTTCGAGTGGGTGATGAGTACTGCAGCGGATTGTACTGTCGGTCGGGTCAGGGCGTCGGCGATGTTATTAGCCCCTTTTTTGTACGTGATGCGGTAGGTGAAGTGGCTCTCCATGTAGTCCAGCCACCGAATCTGTCGTGGGTTGAGGTTGGGTTGGGCTCGCAGGTACTGTAGGGACTTGTGGTCCGTGCGAACAGTGACGTCGGCGCCCACCAGGTAGCATCGCCATAATTTAAACGCGTGTATGATGGCGAGCATCTCCTTGTCGTGGATCGGGTAGTTGCGTTCGGCTGCCCGCAGCTTGCGTGATTCGTAGGCTATCGGCTGCAACCCGTTCCCAAAGTCTTGGAGAAGCACAGCTCCGATGGCGAAATCTGAGGCGTCGGTTACAACTTCGAACGGCTTCGATGGGTCGGCGATGCGCAGCACAGGAGGGGAAACGAGGAAAGTCTTGAGTTCCTGGAAAGCCGCTTCTGCCTCCTCCCCCCACACAAAATTTCTGTCCTTGTGCAGCAGGTCGGTCAGCGGGCCGGTTATCCCCACCATATTCGGGATAAACCGCCGGACGTAATTCACGAATCCGAGAAAACTCTGGAGTTCCGTGACGTTCGTCGGGGACTTCCACTCCTGTATGGTCTTGATTTTCGCCGGGTCGATTTTAATGCCGTCGCGCGAGATGACGTGCCCCAAAAACTCCAACTCCTGCTTAAAAAACTCGCACTTAGAGCCCTTGGTGATGAGTCGGTTCTCCTGCAGCCGCTTAAACACTGCATCCAGGTCGCGGAGGTGCTGCTCCCGTGTCTTGCTAAAAATGAGGATATCGTCCAAGTAGACGATGACACACCGGTCTAGAAGATCCCGAAAAACCCTGTTCATGGTCAGTTGAAAAGTCGAAGGCGCGTTCGTGAGGCCGAAAGGCATCACTGTAAATTCGTAACTCCTGTAGCGTGTGCGAAACGCAGTCTTGTGACAATCGTCGGCGAAGACTCGAATCTGGTGGTAACCGCCACGTAAGTCAATCTTCGAGAAATATCGAGCGCCGCGAAGTTGGTCGAGGAGGTCGTCGGTGCGTAGGATTGGGTAGCGAGACTTGATGGTGACCCGGTTCAGCGCGCGATAGTCGATACACATGCGAAGCCCGCCGTCCTTCTTCGGGGTGAACATGATCGGTGCTGCGAAGGGAGATGTGCTGGCCTGAATGAACCCTTTCTCCAACAGTGCGTCAATTTGACTTCGCAGTTCCTCGAGTTCCGGCTGGGTCAACCGCCACTGTGTCCGAACAGTCGGCTGCGCGCCAGGTTCCAGCTGGATTTTGTGGTCCTCAGGTCTCTCGGGTGGCAGTCCAGGTGGCAGGTCGTCGGGGAAAATGTCCGGGTACCTCCGAATCAGCTCCGCTAAATCCGGTGGTACAGCTGCACACAGCTTCTCGATTTCCGTCGGTTTCAACCGCCAACTCGCGTAAGCAAACAGCGAACAGTTGCGCGCCTCTGTTGAAGTGGCGAGCTATAGTGATAGCTTTGACGCACGGGGCTTGGATGTAGTCAGGCGTCCATGCAGGTAGTTTAATTAGCCCCTCGATCCCGTTGTCCTGTCGATGACGGGGTTGTGCCGTCGCAGCCAATCACGTCCCAGCAGCACGTCGCAGCCGTCCAATGTTGTCGCGAGAAACTTCATGCTGAAGCCGAAATCGTCGCCGCATTCGATCCTGACCGTCCGTGTTTCTTCCGTTATCGCCAGAGGCGTCCCATCCACGAGGCGGGCGTCAATTTCGGGCAGACACCTGTCAAGTTGCAGCTTGCATTTTTTTGCGCTCGCCAAGTTGAAGAGGCTATGGCTGGCCCCTCCATCGACGAACATTTTCAAGTTATTTTTTAACACCGTGCCAGCGACCAGCACAGGGTGATCCACATGTGTATCCCCGTTATTCGGCCGAGTGCGATCGATTGCATGAATCGGAACCACGACTCGGTGGGGATGGTGGGGTTCGGGCCACGGAGCACAGTCAGTAAAGGGCCCGCTAATTACTGACTCTTCCCATTTCCCTGCTCCTTCCTGTCGTTCCCCGTCAGCGGCGTTTTCTCGTGGCAGTCTCTCATGTAGTGACCCGTCTTCCCACACCGGTAACACGGTCCCTTAGGAGGGCGGTCGGGTGTATGGACGGCGTTGATCGTGGCTCGATGGGTCTGGCCACGAAAGCGGTTTCCCTCCCGGGAAGCTGCTCTCGCGTACTGCATCAGCGCATCTGTAGACTCCGCCAGCCGTACTGCTGCAAGAAATGACGTCGGGCGGCCCCTGCGAACCTCGTACTGTATCTCGTATTTGAGGCCGCTGATGTACTTATCTAACCGCTCAGCTTCCGACATGTCATCAACTTGGTCGGCGAGGCCCATAAATGACGCCGTGTGGTCTTGGACAGAAGCCATCTGCGACCATGCACGCAGCTTCATGCGAGCTTGCTCCGAGGCGGATACGTGCTCGAAGCGATCTCGTAAGGCTGCGCCCCACTCCTTCCACGTGCGTATCGTGGTCACTCTGAAGATTGATTGTGCCACTTGATTAGTCACTGTTGAGGTCCCGTCTGCCGCATGCGTCACACCTGTCGGCGTCCCTGTTTCCAAGGTTCGGCGCCACCACTCAAGCGCTGCACCTCGAAGAAGCGATACCGCGTAATTAATACGCGTGGCGTCGTCATTAACTCCGGCTGCAGTAAAAAAGACCTCGACCCCGAACAGCCACCCTTTTACCGTAACCGTCTTGTCCGTAGGATTAAACGGGGGCGGGTTAACGGGCTTGATCTTGATCGTCGTTACT